ACACTGGGATTTGAACTCTGGACCTGCCACTTGGGGGTTGACAACCTGACCACTTCACTAGGTCGCCACACCCCTTCTGTTGAAAATTTTAACATCTTTTGTTGCATAGATCTTTAGTTTTTCTTTGTCTATAAAGATAATTTCTAAATGTAATCATATTCCTTTAGTAAGATGTTGTTTAGCTGCAATGATGTCATTTTTAGCCATTTCAAATAAAAATAACATAATTTTGTTAAAGAGCATCATAGGCTTTGTATATCAATAATAAGAATATTTTCATTCTTTGATTTAATTGTATTCTTAGGAGAAAAGGTTGAGTAAGTTGACTGGCTTCTTTTAAGTTTAGAAAAGAGACTTGACTATTTTTTTGTTAGTAGTTCAGTTATTTTACTAGAACTTGAAGTTGTATTTCTTTCTAAAGTAGAGTTCCTTTGTTCATTTATTGGTTCATTTTGAATTGTTGTTTCCATGCTGTTTTTGTTATTTGTACTAGTTTCAAAGATCTCTTTGTTACATGTTATTGTTTGGATGTTATTTTCATTACATGTACTAGTTTCAAAAACCTCTTCATTGTGTATATTGACTTCAATAACCTTTTCGTTATATGTAGAAGTATTGTTGTTTTGTTTTAAAAGTGTTTCTATGTTGTCATTTTTTTCTACTGATGAGATTTTCTCTTTTGTTATATATGTTCTATTTTCTTTAAGTTCTTCTTTCTGTATATTTGTTATTTCATTGAGTTCCATAGTTTCTTGAGCTACTTGTTCATTCCAGCTAGGGTTGCTTTTGTTGATATATTCTAGTAAACCTGAGTTATTGCCTTCTACTTGTATAGGCTTTTTATTTTTAGTATTTTTCTTATCAGTATTTGTTGTTGTTTTTTATTTTTTTGCCATAGTGCCAAAGCTTTTTGTATTGTTAAAAGCTTTAAAAGATCTTTTTCTTATAACAAAGGCAAGTGCCCTTGCTTTGAAACCTTTTTTAAGATTGGTTGTTTTGTTGTTGTAGTTTATTTTCCTGTTTAGTTTCACTTCATTTCCAAATGCATGTGGTTTGGAAAGAGCATATGCAAATCTCTTGGTAGAATATTCTTTATTGATCTGCTATAAATTGATTAAACTCTTTTGATCTATATGTGATTTTTAATAGAATATGATCTTTATTAGCAGAAACTTTAATATTTATATATATATATTAATTTTTAAAAGTTTAGCATTATTAAGTTTATTATGATTTAATAAACATAATGTTTTATTATCTATTTGCAAAATACTTAAGAATAAGTAATGCATTAGATCAACTACTATAAATTTAACTAAATTAAAATATTTTAGTTAATATAGTTCTAACTATCTTATTTCTGTATCTCTAATATATTGTTTATATTTAAAAAATTATAATTTGGTGTATTATGCATTATGGCATATCCATCATATAATCGAATAAAAATTTTTTTATTAATACCTCTTATAATAATTTAATTGGCTAGTAAATTTGACAAAATTTTACATATAGACATATCTTATTTTGTATTTACTAGTATTAACCAAATATGTAAATAAACATTTAGTAATGTAAATTGGGTTTATGCAGTAGTTACAGCATACATAAATTTAAATTTGCATATATATTAACATATATAGTATATGTATAAAATTTTTTTTTGTGCATATTTTTTCATATTTCTATAAATAAAAATTTTTTAATTTATAACACTGTGAACATTTCAAGACATATCTTGCTTAAACTTGCAACTATCTCTTTTGTTGAAATATAACAGGTTTGGTATGAAATTCTGAAAGATTATAAGCTAGACAATATAGTTTTGATCCTGTTGAGATTTTATTTTTCAAACTTTAAACAATTTCATCACTTATTTTGTCAATATAAATACTTTTGAGCATATTACTAATCATCCTAGATTAGTTTTTTTTTACTTACAGCATAATAGAAGATTTTAATAAGCAAACTTTAAACAAAGAATTAGTTACAACAGAGTATAATGATGATAATATTAATGTTGCAACATATTTTAAAAAGTCTTTTTGGTATAATAAAGAAATAAATTACTTACATAGCAACTAGAAACCAATAACTTTAAAAGAAAATAACTCTTTTAACAATTTTGATGAAGCCAAACTTTACATATAGTGGTTTGCTAAATACAAAGAGTTTAAGATTAGATGTGGACATATAATAACAATAAATATTGCAGAAAATAAAAAGACAATTTGAAAACAGGCAATTTTTTGCAAGCATTTAGATATATTCAAGCCAAAGAATATTGAGAAGACAAGTACCTCAGCTTGATTATTATGTTTATAGCATATTAATTTGTTACATTCTTTAAAAGATAACTCTAAGTTTCATGTTATTGTTACTACTTTTCATAATACATATAATCATGAACTATTATCTAAAGTAATAGAATTTGAAAAAAGAAAAAAATTCTTAAAAAAATGCAACAAGAAATTATATTTCTTGTTGCAAAATATTACCTTAGAGCAACTATGATTCAACATATCTTGAAGAAAAAGTTTTTACTTCATTCACTGTTCTTTAAGAATTTGTATGCTAAGATCCAATGATATCAACCATTAAATGATATAATTAAAAGTAATGCATTATAGTTTTACAAAGAGCTATTACTAAAACAACAGAAGGATACTCTATAGTTTGTTGAAGCAATGTAAAAAAGTGAAACTAATATATTGGTTAACTTGTTTTGAATGAGTCCAAAACAAATTTTGTTGTGATATGAATTTAGTGATGCAATTGGTCATAATAATACATTAGGTACCAATAGGTACTATATGCCCTTCTTTTTGTTTGTAGCTCAAGATGATAACATGAATTCACACATTATAGCTCAAATATTGGTTAGCAATAAATCAACAGAAACATACCAATAGGTACTTCAAATAACTAAAAAGGTAACTGATAGTAATCCAGCAATGGAGCATGCAATAATTTTGAAGTATCCAGAAACATAGCATTTATTTTGTATCTGGCACATTAAAGAAAACATAAAAAAGATACTGCATAGTAAGTTAGATAATTTATTTAATAAATTTTATAATAAATTTTGGTAGTGTCAAAATGCAAAGACACTACAGATTTTTGAATTATATTGGAATCAACTTCTAAGCTTTTCATTTGCAACATCATATCTTGAATGTTGTCTTTGTAAACATCAATTTTTTTGGGCACATGCTTTTACATTGATGACATTCACACTCAGTATTCAATTAACATCATTTGTTAAAGGCCAGAATGCATCAAGTGGGTATTAAAAAATAACAACACATTAATTTGTGATTTAGGTAAAGTTTTAATAGAATGAAGTAAAGAAGAAAAAAAGAGAAAGCAATTCAAAGAATAAAAACATAGCATCCCTTCTACAACAAGTATTATTATTATTTTTCCTACAATTGAATTATTAATTAAGCAATATTTAAGGCCAAATGTTTTATGTTTTTTAGTAAAGCAGACAAAAAAAAGTTTATATTATACTTTTATCCAATCTTTAATTGAAGAAGTTGAATCACTTGCTGATAATGAATCTACTTTAAATGAAGATCTTGAAGATAAACTTGATAATATCACTTTATATACTAAATACCTTTTAGAAAATTTGAACCAAAGTGCAATTAATAAGCTGTAAAAAGTATTGAAAGTTATGAGCTATAGTGTTAATCATTTTGTATTTTTATTTACAGATAGGTTATACTATTGTATCTGCCTTTTACAACAAACAAAAGAACTAGTTTGTAGGAATTTTTATCATCTCTTAAATATTACAGAGAAGACATGATTCAATTTATGATTAATTGCAAATCAGTAGATTCTAAGAGATAAATGAATAGATGCAGCAAAAGAGCATGTATATTTGGGTCAATAATTTAGTAATATAAATACAGCTATTAACATTTATAAATCTGTAAAAAGTAATAAAAATAAATTTGTATCCCTTAGATTGTAGGCCAACACAAGCAAATTTGCCTGTGTTTTTGCATTTTTTTAGCTCTGATCTACTTTTTTAAATTGTTAAAATATATAAAT